TTCAGAGGCCTCTGGTTTGTTTGTGGGGCTTTGGTGGTTAAGCCCGGGGCCAGTTCGGCCCCTGACTCTCTGTGTGGCCTCGGTCTGCCTGGGCCGAAGTTTCCTTGTTTGGGAAACAGCCATAATAAGCCTCTCCTTCCTCCCAGTGGAGCCAGGACGAATTACGGGGGGAGGAAGGGGGGGAATTTATCACAGCGGGTGCCAGAGACAGTTTTTCCCAGCAGGGGGTGCTGTGGGGATGGGGGCAGGAAGGCTGGATTGCGGGGCAGATCCCAGCTACCCCTACCCCAGCAGGGGCCACTGCGGGCAGCAGGGCAGGAGTGCCAGCTGGGGAGGCAGATCCAGGCTCCTCTAGTCCCAGCCTCTCCCAGCAGGGGGTGCTGTCACACCAAGGATGCCCATGCCCAGCACTGGCACCGCGGTGGCATGGCTTGAGCTCCCCAGGGCGGCAGCGTCCATCCATCAGGCCCTGGGACGGCTCCATCAGGTCTCCCGGGACCTGCTCTGTCAGGCTGTGCTGGGTCAGCCTGGGCTGGGCGCCTCTAGCGCCGAGGAATGACCGCGGGGCCAGCTGGCGTGGCCACTGTGTTGGCAGGGATCGCCATCCCTTCTGCTGGGACAAAGCCCCATTGTGCGCTTGCGAAAGCCCCGTGGACAGAAGCCCTTTGTTCGGAGGGGACTCGGGGCTGGGAGCTCCAGCGGCGACGATTTCTCGAACAACAACGCGGGGGCTTTGTGATTGTTAGCTCAGTCCCTGGAGTCCTGGCAGGGGGTGGAGGGAGGGTGTCACTGGCTCCCCCTCTCCCCTGCCAGGCTCAGCCGCTTGGTGACCTCTTCAGCTGACCCCTCTCTGCCCTTGGAAGGTCACGGCCTGAGATGCCCCCAGCAGACCCCTGGCTTGAGAGGGTCATTCCTGACCTTCACCTTCCAGCCTTGCAGTGTCCGAGCCCTTCCCAGCTTCCCAGGTCTGAGCCACTTGCGCTGTGTGCAATGCAGGTCAGCTGGGGGATGCAGTAGGCACCGAAGCTACGAGGGCACCCAGGACTCCTGGGCTCTGCAGGGTGACCTCAGGCAAGTCCTGTTGCCACCTTGTGCCTCACTTTCCCTTCTCATCCTTTGCGTATTTGAACAATGGGCAGCAGGAACAGGGGGTCTCCGCAGCTTCCAACTCCGTGGGTCCTCGGGCCGTTTCTCAAGTCAGCTGGGGTCCGCGGCTGGGTCCTGGGGACCCGCTGAGCCCCCCTGGCTTCTGGCAGCTGGCCTTATTGGGCGTGCTTTGACTCCATGCACCTCTGCTCACTAAGGGCTGCTCTCTTCCTGCCTCACATGGGGCTTCCATGACCCTCAACAAGCTCCAGGCCTCTGGCATTGCTCTGGGGGCGAGCATAGTTATACTGGCCAAACTGGGCTTTTCCAGTATTGCCCGAGTCATGCATTAAGAGCAGTTTCATTCCCCTCTTCTTCCTCAACAGCACTTTGTGATTGTTAGCTTTGTCTTTCTTCCCCACCCTCGCCGACGGCGGCATGGTTAATAAAGAAATGATAAGGTTTGCAAGGGTTCAACACAGCTCATCGTTTATTAATTAAATTAAACCCAAATCCAAATAATTAAAGAGTTCCAAAACAAGCGGGGTGTGGGGAGGGGGTTCATATTCAGACACTGTCCTGAGCATACTGATGTCCAGAGAGGTGGTGTCCACCAGGGTAACAGCCACCATCCTGGCTATCCCTCCTGGGGAATTGAAGCCACAACCTCCTGGACTAAAAGCATGGGCTGCTGAAGAAGTGGTAGCCCCTTGCTGGGACCAGCTGTGATAAGGCACTCGCACCAGTTGCTCCATGTAGACCCCAGCTGAATGCTGCCACTACATTCTCTGTTACTGGGGAATTTGAGGTGGGAGCTTGTTAAAAGTGGAAGGGATGAAGCTGGGGTGCTTGAAGACACCAGTGAAGATGCTGGCTCCACATGGACCCTCTCCGGTGAGAGGGAATAGATGCCGCAAACGCAGTGCTGCCTTTGGATTTCCTGGCAGGCCGAGGCACCGAAAAAGGAAGGGTGGGGAAACTGAGAAAGGCCCAGAAGCCACATCCTGCTATTGTCTGGGGTCACGTGAGAAGAGCTGTCAAAGCTAGCACCCTGCAGAGCTGGCCCTTCAAAAGATCCTAACTCACGGCAGCAGAGCTGTTGGAGAATTTAGCCGCTCAAGCACAAGGATTAACACGGCTGAGCTCAATCCCGCCGCCTCCAAACCCTCCAAAATCAGGAGACTGTCCTACAAAAGATCATGAGATCATTTTTCACACCCGCAAGGAGTTTACAGTAGCACCCATGTCACTTCAAGGACTAACACGCTGGAGAAAGGAAGCCTTTGTTCAAATCTGCCTCTCTCACAGGGTTCCAGCTCACCATTAAGACAGCCGGGGATTGTTAGGGGCTAGGTTTTGCACCAGGAATTGTATTTATTGGACTAGAAGCTCAATGAAAAAAAAATCCAATATTGCACTAAATGAATGAAAGCTGGAAATGGCAGAAGGATCTAGCCCTGAGCTCTTTGGAAGTTGTTGCTGTGTTTCTGGGAGGACAGCAGGGTCAGGTTGTATTGCAGGGAACAGAAAAGCCAAGAAGCCCCTTCCCTGGGGTATGCAGAATCACATAGACCTCGGGCTGGAAGGGACGTCCAGTCCAACCCCCTGCCTGAAGCAGAATCATCCCTATCCAAACCAAATATGTTGGGCCATTTCTCTGGAACCCCTCTTCTTCTTTTTTTTTCCAGGGGAGTCCAAGGCTGCAGTGAAGGGAAGATGCTTGCAGTTTGTCTGGGGGTGTGTGGAGAGGGCAGTCAGGAAGGGAAGGGAAGAGAGGGGACTGTTTGATCTCAGGCATTGAGAGTAGCTCCCTGGGACAGATCTGCCTGCAAAGAGTGGGGCACCACATCCGATGCAGAGAAGGTACAGTGGGAAGGGCCCTGGGGGCTGGGTCAGCATCACGCAGATGCTTGTCGTCAGTCAGAATCGGGCCTGGGGAAATGACTGTGTAGGGTCTTGAGCTTGTTTCAGTGTGTTCCAGATCACAGGGGCTGCCGGGAGGCCAGCGAGTGTGCGCAGACATGCACAAGCATGTGAACGTGTGCTGGGGGGGGGATCATGCAGGGGCACATGTGTGCAAGACAGGACAAGTGACACGCACACACACACATCCCTCTCTCTGCACCGAGAGCACTCCAGCACCAAAGCAGCGCCAGCTGAGCGTCCTCCATTGATGCATCCCCGTACACATCCCTTATAACAACCAGATGCTCATTAGTAAAAAACTTCTCCTCCATTAACCTATACAAACTTCCACAGCATTAACAGAGACCCTCTGGGAAAGGTGACTCACAAGGAAAAAAACCCTGGCTCGTGCCCCTTTATGATGGATGAGGTGGGGAAGGGATGAAAAAAAATGAAATATATGGGGGGGGAAATATTCTGGTTATTTTTTTACACTAAAGTCATTATGATAATTATTTGTATTGTGGTAGTACCTCTGAGTTCCCGGTTGGACCGATGCCCCATTGTACTAGATGTTGCACAGATATAAAACAAACATAAAATAAAGCCAAATAGGTGCCTAAAGGGCTGGAAATCTAATTCAGCTCCTCTCTGCGCTGAAAGACTCAGTGTCTGGAGAATGAGTGAGACGCCGACATCACCAGAGAGAAAAAAAATGAGCAACGGAGAGAGGGAAGAGACTTTCCTCCTCCCCTTAGCCAATCTTCTTGTGAACAGCTATTTAACTTTGAGGGCTAATAACACCCTGGAGAAAGGAAGTTATTGTTAAAGATGTGCCTCTCCTGACGTGCCTCCGCTCACAGTAAACACCCAGAGAGCCCCCAGCCACGAAGGATGGAAAAGCAAGGAGGAGCCGATAGGATGACTGCAATGTTTCAATGCGCTCAGCTCCCGAACAGGCGCCTCGGGAGATGGGACAGTGCGACTGCAAAGCTCTTTGGGAGCTTCCACCTGTATTGATGCCCCTACATGGGTGTTGAGTAAATCTGGCTCCAATTTGAATGCTAACCAATCAGGAACCTGTCCCTGAGCTCTTTTTAATATTCCTGACGGTAAAAAAGAGGGAGAAAAAACCCAAAAAGGTTTGAATGGGGGGGAAGGGGAAGGGGAATGACACCAATTGGGATTGTGGCCTTCCGCCATCATAAAGAAGCAGGGCTAAAAGCACATCAGCTTTACTATAGAGGCCCCAACTGATATTGCCAATTAACAGAGACCCTTGTTAAACCTGGGGCCTCCCCCCCAAAAAATCCTATGTTTTAAATACAAAGGCTTCCTGGAAATGCTCCTCCCCCCTCCCTTAAAGCATCATCATAACTTAAGACATAAATATAATTCCTACGCTTCTTGATTAAATATGCTGGGGATAAGGCAGGAAGGTGGGAATTTCCCCTGGGGTCTTTGCGGCGAGGCTCGCGGGCCCTTCTGGGCACAGCGGATGGAGGAGAACAGCTGCTTTCAGGTCCTCACCCCTGGATCCCCGACTCCTCTGGCTTGGCTGCAAAGGCTCTGGGGAATTGAGGGCCCGATCCTGCCTGTGGCTGAGAGACAGGATCCAGCAAAGCACTCACTGCGCCCCAACCACAGGGCTGAGTCCCCTTTTGGCTTTCCAGTGTGCTTTGCAGGACAGAGCCCACAATGGGTGGCACCAGTTGGGGGAGACAGCATCTCCCTGCCCTGCCCTTGGCACTGGCTGGTGTAGATACCTCCAATGTCTCTCCCAGAGACCCCGTCCTGAAGGGCGAGGGGCTGAGGGTGCCTCTTCACGGCAGCACGTTCAAATTGCAGGCACCAAGGTCGTCTGAACCTTCCTGAACCTCATCGGACCCCAAGCTGGGGACGAGGGGCAAGGGCTAGGGGACGATCCCATCACTATGCCCACCCCTGCAGCAGCACAGGAGCTGCCAGTGCCCCAGGAAATAAATTATCTCAGAGAGGGAGGGGGGGGAGATTAAAAAAGGGAGGAAAAGGAGGAGAAGGACGAGCCGGAGGAGACCCTCCGGCTTAGATCTCCAGCAAGCTGCTCTGCTCGGGGCTGGTGGTGTCCTTGTCATCGCTGGCTAAGCCCTCCTGCATGGTGGCACCGGGCGAGCCCCCAGCAGCCGCCTCCTCCCGCTCAGCCTCCCCCTCGGGGGGCTTGGCAGCCCCCATCTCGGTGTGGGTCTTCTGGTGCTTGCTGAGGTGGTCGCTGCGCGTGAACCGCTTGTTGCAGAGCAGGCAGGTGAACTTCTTCTCTCGGGTGTGGGTGCGGACGTGGCGCTCCAGCTCGTCTGAGCGCGTGAAGCGCTTGCCGCAGAAGAGCCAGTTGCACACGAAGGGGCGTTCGCCCGTGTGCCAGCGCAGGTGGGCTTTCAGGTGCGAGGCCTTGCCGTACACCTTCCCGCAGCCCGGGATGTGGCAGCTGTGGATGGGCTTCTTCCGGAGGCTGGCAGCCGAGGCACCCAGGCGCTCCAGCTCCTGGCAATTGGGGCAGTCGCATGTCGAACGGCCGGTGGTGCCCCCGAAAGAACCACTGCGCGGCGCCTTCAGTCCAATCCCGCTCTCCATCAGGGAGTTGTTGGCCACCGGCTTGGGCTTGTACATCTCCTGGGACAGCATGTGCTGGCTGGAGGGGAGTAGGTGGGAGGAGGAGGTGATGCCCACTGCCGGGTATGGGGCAGGATTCAAGGGGGTGAAGTCGGAGCTGTAGCTAGGCAGCTGGGGGCTGAGGGAAGACTGGGTGGGCATGGACTGAAGGGAGCCCTGCAGGCCATCCGACTGGGGCTGGGTGCTCAGCCAGTTAGTGTTGGAGTGCATGTCCCACCAGGAGGCTGTGGCATTGCTGGAGCTGCCCGAGATCCCGGGGTGGATGCCAGTTTTGTACCAGGAGCCGTAAGGATGGGTCATGTCTAAGGAGGTGTAGACGCTGGGAAGGCAGTCGGCCGAAGGGTGTCCCTTGGAGACCAGGAGGGACGATGGGTCCTGAGAGCTAGAGGAGGTCGGGAAGGAGTGGGAGAAGGGGCTGTAGTCATTGCAGTAGGTGGTGGAAGCCTGGGGGCTGGTGGAAGGCGACATCAGGCCGTTCCCACTGGGGAAGGCAGCAGTGTAGGAATCCCCCATGGCCTCAGAGCCACGGACTTTGGGCACGGAGATCTCAGCACCCAACTGGTACAATTTCTTTCCCGGATTTCCCCCTGCTTTCCCCGGAGTGGCCGAATCCCGGATTGGACTCGAGCCTCCGAATTTATTGCAGGTGGCTGTCAGCATAGCCAGTGGGCTAGAGCCATAGCGGGCTTCTTCCTGGCGGAGGAGAGAAAAGAGGATAAGGCGTCAGCACAGGAAGGCAAGACTGCCGCTTTCGGTTTGGGGTGGGGCTCTATAGGGCACAAGGCAATTAAAGCACATTATCACAGGGGACGGGAGATGACCCATAGCTAAAACAATCAGAGCAGCAAGATACTGTCTGCCTGGCTGAGCATCTGATAGCGCTGTGGCCTCAGTCCTGGGAACCAGTGCTTTCCTCTTGCCAAACCCCAGCTCTGCCACTGACTCCTAGTGGGGACTTAGGCATGTCACTTCCTCATCCCTTGCCTTAGTTTCCTCTGCTGGAAAGGACTGCTGCCAGTTTCCCTCCCTGCCAACAGAAGCATCATGAGGGTTCGTAAGCATATGAGGCACCATCAGTGCCACACGATCAAAACCCATGACTCAGCCACCCCCAGAAAAGCACACAATGGATTTAAAAATCAAGAAGCTTTACGTATTTAGGGCCTCTGGCATTTGCCTCTGGCTCTTGACCTTTGAGCAGGGTCAGATTTGCTCCACGGCTATGCAGGCAACACATTCAATTAGGAGGGGGTGGTAGTGAAAGCTGAGTTTTGCATGTTATGCCCATGATGCCAGGAGCTGGGGCTTGAGGACAGACAGCCCCTATTGCCTGATTCCTGAAAAGCTCACAAGAGCTGGCAGCCAGCCGAGAAGGGCCCAAACCTGTTTGGCCCCTTGCTTCAGCACCTCCGGGCCTTTGGCGCACTGAGCCAAAAGGCGCTTCGATGACACAGGGCATTAGACAAACAGGGAACTGAGGCATAAGGGCCCCGCTCATCCAAGGTGTTTAGGCACCTTACCACTGTGAGGAACTACCAGATTTTGAAAGGTATTTAGGTCCGCAAGATGCCTGGTGGATTTTCCCAAGTGCCTGAGTGTTTCATTCCCAGAGAAGCCAATGCTTTGGAAAATCCCACTCAACACCACTCTACAGCTTCGGCCATTAAGATATCCGATGATTAAAATAGGTGACTTGACCAGGGCTATACAATGATCCTGTAGTAAAGCAGGGAATTAAAATCAGGTGGCACCTACTTCTCTCCAAATTAAGCCCTTACCTCTGGTGGCCATCACAGAGGACAGTCCGGTTGTCCTCTATCCTCTATTGATACGAAACTGGACCCCTTTCTGTCCTCTATTGAATCTATTAATCTATTTATTTTCTTGAAGAGAAAAATAGAGGGCATAAAGGCGTCAGGTTTCGTATTGATAGAGGACAGAGGACAACCAGACCGTCCTCTATGATGGCCAGCCCCCTGACCCCTTTCCTTGTAGACTTTGGCTTGAAATCTGAACTCAGAGCAGAGGCACCGTACTCCTGTCCTGACCCTTGTGTCTCTCCTGGGCTCAAACTGTGGCACAGTGGTAAGTGCTTATTGCTATTTCTGCAGTGGATTTAAAAGGAGCAGTTTTGCCCCAGGGAATTCCTGTTTTTTTGGCATGGGTTTGTGTCTGGAAACATCAAAGCGCTGGGGTTGCCTCCACAGACAGTGGCTGCCATGTAGTCCCTGCCACTGAGACTGCAATACATTGTGGGAGTTGTAGTCCTGCCAGGCAGCCTGCCCGGTGAGGGGAATGAGGGTGCGAGGCATCTGAACTACAACGTGGTGGCTCAGGCTGACTCCCCTTCAGGCCAACTAAGATTACTTCAAATTTTTTGGGTTTTTGTGTTTTTTTGCAAAATTGACATTGGCCCTAAAAATTTTCACATTTCACCTCACTTTTCCAAGAAAGTGAGAGCCACCGGCTAGCTCTTCGTGGTTCACAATAGCCATGTACCCCTCAAAAACCTTTCACACAAGGGCACGTCAGGTTTTCCAAGGGGCCTATATGAATTAGGCACTCAAAACACAGCACCCAGAGGTATATGCTTTGTGGGGAACTTAGCCAGTCACTAAAGAAGACGAGCTGGGAGTTGTGTCTAAACACAAAGCTTTAGCTTTTAAAGCCACGCTTCGATTTTCTGGGGCCTGACTCATGGCTCTCCAACGGTTGGCGTTGGCCCTGCAGCACGGAGGCCCCTTTGAAAATCCCAACCTTCAAAAATGCATATACATGACTCATCGCTGCAAGGAGTCGCTCATGGGTTTTAAGGGCAAGAAAGGGACCGTTAGATCATCCAAATTCCTCCATAAAACAGACCAAAGAATTTCACTCGGTTGCCCTTGTCCTGCGCCCAGTTGCTAGACTAAAGTCTAGTCAGGCAGAGGCTGGGAGGAGAAAAGGCAAGGCATGGAGGATAAGGAAAGGCTGTGGTGCAGATGGCTCTGAGGACACTGCTCCAAACAGCACCCACTAAAGAGCAGAAAGTGGTTATACATCTGGCAGCTGGGACTGGAGACAAGCTGGCTAGAGGGAGAGATGGCAGAGGAAAGGAAAGGCATTCAGGGATCATCTGGGGTTATGGTAGGGTGGCCATCATAGGGGACGTTCCGGTTTTCTGCTACTCTGTCCTCTGTCCTCTATTGTTATGCAACCCAATGCCTTTATGTCCTCTATTTTACTCTTCAAGAGAAAAATAAAGGACATAAAGGTGTCCGGTTTTGTATCAATAGAGGACAACCAGACTGTCCTCTATGATGGCCACCCTAGGCTACGGCCAGCTCCCTGGTCAGCCATTGGAGGGATGCTCCAAGCTGCTGCTCTTGAGTAGCCTGCAAACCTGGGCCTTGAGCATGGTCCTGGGGCACCCCTTAGGGAGCCCTCTCCATCTCACTGCCAGGGTGGATGCAGGCAGGGTAGGCATAGGGTTGCCAACCCTCCAGGATTGCCCTGGAGTCTGCAGGAATTTGAGATAAATCTCCAGGAGACTACTGAGAGTCACCTGGGAGATAAATGATAGGGCATTCATTAAAATAGTCATTAATGTCATTACATCATGCGATAGATTCAAACAGCTGGCGACCCTAGGTAGGAAATCAAGTCATTAATGTCATGACATCACGTGATGGGTTCAAACAGAGTTGGCAACCCTAGGTAGGCACCAGCGAGCTTTAGGTCACAAACGAAACTTTGAAACCATGAGCCGATGGAGCAAGCTGTCTGGATCCCGAAGCACTATTTTGGGGAGGTGTGAACTCTCTGAGCAGGGACACGCAAGGGACAATCCCTAGTGTGGGTCAAACTTGGAAGAGGCCTGCCATTATGTCTTACTCAGCAGCAGGTATTTAACCCAAGTATCCATGCAATCTTTTCTCCAATGCCTAATGAAGGGTGTTTGTGCCTGAAAGCTTGCAATTAAAGATTTTTTTTTTTTTTTGGCAAAAATCTTGTTGGTCTAATAAAAGATACCATCTCTACTACGAGTCCTGATTGGTACTTAACCCAGACTTTCAGGGATGGAACTGGGAGGTGTGAATCCCACACTGAGCTGAGCTTTCCACCAGAGCTTGGTATCCTGGATGATTTGTAGCTAGGTTGAATGCACCTCATGCTCAACCTCACCTGGGTTGGCAAGATCCTTCCTGCTCTAAAAATAGTTTATCTTCAAGGCAGGCTCAGCCAGAGGTTTCTGAACAGAGCAATGGCACAGGGCTTGGGGGTATCTACAGGTTTATGTCCATTGCAGCACAAGTACTTGGAATTTGGAGGCAACCGAATTGCTCCTTGGGGGCGAAGCAAAGGCAGGGCAAAAAACATCTGACCCAGCCCATCACCCAATGAGAAGCAGATCCAGGAGCATCCCATCAAATGGGTCCTCTCCCAGCCACCCTGCTTGTCTTGCCCTTGCTCCCTATTCTGGTCAGCTGGCACCTCTCAATCCTGCCGTCCCAGTGCCAGCTTTCCCACTCAGCTCTGCAGATGCCCCTTGAACCAGCCTTCCAGCTTCCAGCTCTTATCTGAGGCCTAGGACACACACACACACACACACACACACACACACACACACACACACCCACCCTACTATTCCAGTCTGCAGACGGGATAGGTCAGAACTGAGTAATGCTGGACTTTCAGTCCACTTAATGCACAGACCTTGTCTCTGTGCCTCTGCAAAGGACAGCCACATTTCTGGGGTTAACAAGCTCTCCTAATTGACTTTCCAAATGAAACTAGAGGGGAGATTTAGAGCAGGGACTTGCAACGTGTCTATCACACTGCCTGATACCATAGACATCATAAAGCCAATATGGTTATCATTAATAATGGCTTCAGAATTGGAATTTGTCCAGGATGTTGGATTAACACCTCATACTTCTAGAAAGGGATGTGTTTTTGCTAGGCTTTGACCATGCAAACATTTACATATGTGCTTAATTTTAAGCAAGGGAGTAGCCATCCGTAGGATTATTTCCACGCTTGAAGTTAGAAGGGTTTATGTCTTGAAGGGATCAGGGTCTTCATGGCCCCATGTTGTCAGAATTGGTCTCAGATGTCCTGTTTGAAATCTGAATCATAAGAAATGCATGGTTGGTTTTGCCTTGGACTTGCGGAAGGACAACTAATACGTATGACTGAGAGTGCACAATCTGGGGCATTTTGCATAGCCAGTTTCATCCTTCCGTGCCATTTAACAGCCCTGTAACGCATTATGCTGCACATTTGGGGGGAAAAAAGAGCTATTTTTACATTGAGGGAGCTGGGAGGAAACACATTGTTCATGGGGGTTTTCTCATTTGGGAGGATAGGGCAGGGAGGAGAGAGAGAAGACATTCCTCCAGAGTTTTTCTCTCTTTTTTTTGGATGGAAAAATTCATACACCTGGGCAAAATTTGACACGGAAACAAGTCCCCATGTCTGAGTCCAGAACACAATGTGAAAAGACTTGAAATTCAAGAAGCTTTGCATTTTCTTCCAGGCATTTCGCAAACTTCTGCTTATAGCATTGTGGGCAGAGGTGAAATCCCAACCTGCTGCAAATGCAAGGAAAATTACCTTCCCCATGACATGCAGCATAACATATAATGATGACTTTCAACCCCTTATGATCTAGGAGGCCTTGCATGTATAGCTCCAATGATCAGCTCTGGAAC